CTATACTCCATGGTCTCTTATTCTTCAAAACTTGGCCGGTTGTGGCCTTCTGTGTGCATCACACTCTGATGTACAAGGGAGTCTCACTGGTGAGAGTCGGGGGGTGCATTAGCCCTCTCTCTACGTCTTATTCCACTATGTTCCATGAGCATTAGTTGCAGAGATTCAACTGCAGATGTGTCACCTAGTACTGGGCATCTCCCAGGGGTATGTTCTCTGAGGCTGACCAGATGTACATCTCTGCAGTAGCCTCCATCTGTTACAAAAAGAAGCTTCTTTGATAAGTGTTATACCTCATGCTTATCACTCTAAGGGGGGGGTCTCTTCTATCTGGCACTGTGTTCCCTGCCAAGCAGCTCCCAGGTATACATATATATTAATGTTCAGACACTCTATGTGCATTTCTTATAGGGTTTCTAGGGCATCACTTTTCCCTTTAGGTTTCCTAGCACCCCGAGATTCACTCCATTCTTTTTTCTACCATATGATCCAGTGATAACACTCCTTAGCATATACCCAAAGGACTCATCATATTGTAGAGATACCAGTACATCCATGTTTGTTGCTGATTTCTCCACAATAGCTAAGAAATGCAAATAACCTAAATGTCCCTCAACTGATGAATGGTTAAGATGTGGTACATCTACTCAATGGAGTTCTACTCAGCAATAAGAAAAGATGAAATTATGAAATTGGCAGGTAAATGGCTGGAACTAGAGAGTGTTGTACTAAGTGAAGTAACACAGACTCAGAAAAACAAAAGATATATGTTCTCGCTCATGTGTGCACTGAAGCACCAATCCCTCATTTGTGACCATATAAATTCTGCTCTAACACCAGGAGCCAGGAAAAGGGAAAGGATACATGGAGGTAAAGGAAAAGAAACAACCTGAAAGGGGGATAGTAGGGAGCAGGTGTTACCTGAGGGAGGTGGAAGAAGTGGGAGCAATCGGCAGGGAGGAGGGGAGGGAGGGACATGCAAGGGACCATGGTGTGGGGGAGGGAGGGAAGTCAGGAGAGGAAAGACCGTTGGGAATCAGGAGGTATTGGGGGGAGGGTGGGGATAATGGGGGCACTGTGACCAGGGAGGGAGGAGGGAAGCCGGATGGGAGGAAAAAGAGTATTACTACATGAGTTTTGAGACAATATGAAGATATCTTTCCATGGTTCTTTCTGAGGACACTTACTCATGGAACCCAGCACCATGCTGTGAGGTTGCTCAAGCTGTCTGGCTGACAGATTCATGTTTAGAAGGTCAAAGGCCAGCAACAGACTGCCAACCCTTAAGTGAACTATCTTGGCTAAGGCCCCTCTAGCCTCAGCCCCACTGCCTCTGCTGTTAGCCTGCGAGGCTGAGAGCAGCTGTCTGTAAGCCAGAGTTACAAGGCCCAAGGGGCTTGAGGAAAGATTGGAAGCCTAAAATTTTATTATTTAGCTTGACCCAGTCATTGATTCTAGAAATTAGGGTTTCAAATTCTATGCAATAAATAGTATTTTGCACGTCTTCCTTGAGACTTTGCAGTGCAAGGTGACTGGCTGTAATTTGGATTTTGGGGAGCCAAGGAAAACAATTATGATTACTACCCACTTTTAAAGTGTGGTATTCTGGAAGGAAAGAGAAAATGTGGTACTCTTTCCTCTCAGAAGAGCCCCCTATCTGTTTTTACTTATTTTAGGAAGAAGGATTTTGACTGTGGGTGTCGAAAGTTTCCACTTGATTGAAGTAAACAGTCCTCAAAGGAATTTACTTATTTATTTTACTTTTAGGAAAAAGAAATCCGTGTTTGGTTTCTATAAAAACCCCTTCCTGTAAATGACTTTTCTTCTTCTGTATATTATTTGTCCAGCAATCTGGCAACAAAGATCTGATGTAGTACAACCTGGCCTTTGGCAAGAAGACAACAACTTCCAAATTCAGTGCTACCCAAGAACCTCCATCCTCTGCTGATCAATTGTTGAGGTAACTTTGTTTCTGTATCACAAGACCAGATAGTACCAGACAGTAAGCTTGCTTGTTCCGGCTTTTTATTATTTCAAGGTTTCTGTTATAAGGGTCATTGAGACACTCAAACACTTCATGGGTGAATGAATACTTTTATATGAATTGGACTCTTGCAGCTGAGGCCACTGGAGATGCAGAAGATGGAGCCAGGTGTGTTGTAGGACTTGGGGAGAAGCAGCAGCATGCTCAGAACTAGTATCTGACCTTAGGTAGATACTTGTTCATCTTATGACTCAGCTGAGAAGCACGTCCATCCTGGAGCTGACCACTGTCTCCACATGTAGGGTTCCCCAAGCCCCACCTACTTCTGTGTCCTGAGTGAGAATCTCTGAGTATCTGGACTGTGACCAGACAGCTGCATGTTTTTTTTGGCAAGCTGGAACCCAAACCTGGCCTTGAACTTTCCCACACACCAACAAGTATCTAGGTTGTTGCTCGAAACACTGAAGGAAATTGGCCCAGGGCTTACAGCCAGATTCTTTAAGTCTTCATGTAAGCACCATCTGGCCCCTCACCTCAGGCATAGATATGACATTGGACATATAGATCACTCTAAATTCTCCTAATACATGCTTTTGCATTTAAATGCTAAATGTCACCGATTACCCTAGTAGCTAATTTCATCTATGTTTAACAGGCTGACTTCAAATTTTCAGGCTCAAGCCAATCTCCTGCCTCTCAGTGGGACTATAGACACATGTACCCCATTTATAGGGCTTCTTTGGAATCTCAAATAGCATGTCCCGGGAAGGTTTGAGACTGGCTGTTTTTGGCCCAGATAGAGCACCACATGCCTTCGTGAAGACACTGTAAATTCTTTTAAAACAGAGATCATATCTTAGGTCTTTTTCCTGCTCCCCTAATTAGCAACACACAACACACTTTGGTTTTTGATATGTAAACAAATGACTAGGATGACGGTCCCAATTTCTTCTCCCATAATGTTAAATTTCTGGGTGGTGTGTGTGTGTGTGTGTGTGTGTGTGTGTGTGTGTGTTAATTTTTTCTCTTGGTTCTTGCTTTTTAAGCAAGCTTACTAGAAGAATGTCAAACAGCACAGAAGGGTCCAAAGAGAGGAGCTGAACTCATCATTTTGGCCTCATCAGCCTTTGTACTGCTCCTGTGGTATCCTTGAGTGTTAAAGTTTGTGGGAGCCATTGACTGGGAGACTCTTGTGTTAAGCACCAATAGACCAAAGCAATATAGAATAACTCTAGTGAAGTGCAGGAGGCTCTGTAATCAATTGTCCAATTACGACACAGCCAATTAAATTCTCTCTACACTATACTTCCATATCCTATAAATGCTATTGTTGGTCAGAGACCTCTGGTTTGTGGTGTGTGTGTGTGCCCAAGTCTTGGATTTCTTTTGTTTACTTTGTTCTGTTTTATTTATAGTTCTTAAATAAATTCTACTAATTTTTAAGTCTAAGCGTTTTTCCTTTTCTCATCAGTAGTTGGGGTTTGGGATCGAGAGAAGGAAATGGGATGTGTGTCAGGGAAGCAGAAAGAAGTACTAGTTGGGGGAAGGAAGGGGACCAACAAGAGGAGGAGAGGAGGTCTGGGGAGAGCAGCGGGTCAGAGGTGACTGAGAACAAAGAATAATGATAATGATACACATGTGTGAAAATGTCACAACAAAGCCATTTTTTTTTGGCATGTTAATCAAAAAATTTAATAGCAAACATCAGGAATTGCTCAACTTAAAGATATACAGCTGAGGGCGCACTCACTGGCCCAGTTCTTTCTAGTTTGGACATCTCAAATCAATACATATTTCTTTTTTTTAAAAAATTTTTTATTTACTATTTTTGTGTGTATGCATGTATTGCCTGTATATAGGTAAGCACACCCGTGTCCTGCAATGCCCGAGGAGGTCAGAAGAGGCTGTAGGATCCTCTGGGACTGGAGTTACGGACAGTTGTTAGCTGCCATGTAGGTGCTGGGATTCAAACCATGGTCTTCTGCAAGAACAACCAGTGTTCTTAACTGCTGGGTCATCTCTCCAGCCCCTCAATACATATTTCTATCTTCTCCCCTTTTTTGTTTTCTTGAGACAACTTCTCACTATGTGGTCCAGCCTGGCCTTGAACACTCAGCCCTCCTGCCCTCACCTCCCAAGGGCTGAGCTTATAAGCAGGCCCTACCATGCCTGGAGCTTATTCTTCTAATGATGGACTAGGCTTCTAGTATATAGATATAATATCAAGTGTGCAGTGGTGTGTTTTTATCGAAAGGCAACTAGGTGGTTTTATTTTTTTTCTCCCAAGAAATGTTCCAGAAATCGTTCGCATGCACCTGCATCTCTGAAGAAAAACGAAGGCAAGTAAAACCAAAGGTTTCCAGAGCATGAGCGCTGAAAGAATTGAATGGTTCTACAAAATTGCCTCTCAAGAGTTAGTCCTTTGTGGGAGGGAAAACAAGCCCCTTCTTAGGTTTTAAGTCCGCCTGTCTGCTTAGAATGCGCCTTAGTGGAGCTCTGAGGTATGCGCGTGTCTGACTGGGGTGGCTGGAGGAGGCCGGCGGGGGTCCCGTGGGATGCGGGCCAGTTTGACACAGGCTGCTTCCCTTGCCGGTTTCCCAGCCAGCCTCTGGGGCTCTGTGTTTTCACATCAATCTCAGCACTTGGTAGAATTCACAGTGTTTTTAAGTCACCTCTGGATGCAGAGCCAAAGCCAAAAGTAAACCATCAGGAATTACCTGTTTCTTAGTCAGCCCCTGCTTCCCACTACTATTTTTTTTAAAGGTGTATTTTATTTTTGATTGCATAAAATAGTCCTTAAGGCCTCTCGCCCAGAATGTGGCCCTTCCTAGTGGTTTGAGGGCGTTGTCTACAGGAAGAGAGACAATCAAATGCTCCTACAGCGAGGCAGTTTGAATTTTCAGTGCAAACAGCGGACAAAAGAAAGCGGTTGAAGAGGACCACAGTGCACGCTTGGGAAGATGACTTAGTAAATATTTACTGATCACATGCTGGCCGCCAGTTCAGGGGACCGAGGTGCAGAGCCTGCGCGCGTGTGGCTGATGGGGTGCTGGCACCCCCAAGGCTGGGCGCCCGCTGGGGAAGGTGGGCAGTGGGCAGTGGACAGGAGCCAGGTCGGTGCCCGCCTGGAGGCTGCTCTGCGCCTTCTCTCCAGACTCTGTCGGGAACCTTTAAAAGAGAGCTAGCTGTGCACACAGAAACCACTGGTTTTGATGACTTGAGTAGAAAAAAAATTCGCTTGCTCCAGCGGAGCTTCAGCCACTACCCAGGAAATGACTCAGGGTCTATGCCGCAGGCCCCTTTGAGCCGCAGGGCGAGTGGGTGGGTGGGTGGATGGGACCTTGGGCCTCGCCTGGAGCCAGGCGGAGGGTGGGGTGGGAGAGTAGGGCCAGAGCCTCATGACCAAAGCAGGCAAACAGATTTAGAGATAGGAACCCCACCTGTTGCCACTGACAGTGGCAGGCAATAGAAATGCAAGAGGCCCCACTCCACCTTCCCAGCTCCGGTTGCCTCAACCTAGGCCGCCCCCAAGGTGCCAGAGGGAAGTGCAGTTGTGGTGTCCCATCCCCCATCCACCTTCAGTGCCCAAAGCCACAGGGTTTTGTGGACACAGAGGGAGTGCTTCACTCAGGCCACCTCAACTCTGGCTTCCTTAACCAAGGAGGAACTTGAGAGTTAAAGGGACCGCACCTTTAACAAAGATAATAATTACCACTGCTTGCTGTCTGGGTCCAACAGTCTCTCTTTCTTCCTCTCTCTCTCATCATTTTTATAAGTACTTTCTAGAAGAAAGAATAGTGACAATAACTTTATTAGAACTTAATAACAAAAATGTAGCTATAGCAAACCCAAGTTTTTATTCCACATTTTTCTAGACTTGAAGATAGACATACACACTTTTGCACACCAGGTGTGGTAGCGCACACGCCTGTAATCCCAGTACTTGGGAGGTAGAGGTAGATCACTGAAGGTTTGAGGACAGCAGTCTACATAGTAAGTTCCAGGCCAGCTAGGGCTACAGGTGCTTATACTGTATCTCTCTGCCTCTCTGTCGTGTCCATCCTGGTCATGTCCTGTCCCCCGCCATGTGTGTAACTATATACTTATGTGCAATATATTTGGATGCAGCTAGCTGCTCATGAACCTGGAACACACTCATCTTGTAAGTACCAAGTCCAGGTTTCAAATTCATCTGCAACAGGCTCTAGGGTAATATTTCTTCTGGCTCTTCTTGCATTTGCATTGATAAAATGCATTCCATTAAAAATCTTTGATGGCTTGGGACTGGACAGATGGCTCGGTGGTTAAGAGCACTGGCTTCTCCAGCAGAGGACCTGGGCTTTGTTCCTAGCACCCACATGGTGGCTAACAACCTTCTGAAACTCGAGTTCCAGGGGATCTGACACCCTCTTCTGACCTTTGTGAATTTTCATGCATGTGGTGCACTCACATACATGCAGGCAAAAGACTCATATACATAAAATAAAAATAAGTCCAAAAAAGCAAAAATAAAACCCCTTTGATGGCTTCTAATTTTTCTTGAAAGATATTGATCATTTTCTTTGTTCTATAACTACAAAAGATTTTTAAATATCAGTTCAAATGGCCAGTCCAATGAAAGCTTTTATTTCTACATCACCTATTTCTAACAATTGCCTTGTTATATATTCCTGTCTTCAGCGTTTGTCTATGAGCCATATCAGATAAATTATAGTGCATAAACATGAGGTGAAAGAATAGCATCCTGTGTCTTTTGGGCAAGTTCTTGCAAAATACTGCATGAGCAGTTTTTCCTGTTGAACAACTGACTGGATGAGAACACTGTATTTCCTTTTTATCCTTTGAAATAGACTTGCCATTCACTGATTGATTTTATTTATTTGTTTGTACAATTAATTTATTTATTTTGAGACAGGGTCTCACTATGTAGTAAAGGTCCAGAACACATAGAGATCTACCTGCCTCTGCCTCCTAAGTCTTGGGACTAAGGACACTTGCCATCATGCTCCAACCACTAATTGATTCTCGAAAGCTTTTTTGGAGAGTTCCACAGCTACTGACAGTTGACCGAACTGAACATAGGTGTCTTCTCTGGGGAAAGTTCTTTTCCTTCATTCGGCATGTGGCTTTGGGAAAGACACATATGTAGCTGAGAAGGAAGACCTACACCCACTTACCAGAAAGACCAGACAAATCAACCCTGGCATCAGTGAGTAAAAATATTTCATTGAGAAGATGTTTCACTCTCCTATGCGAATCTCCTATCCATGAATTTGAGAAAACCCATCTAGGATACTGTCAGATGAAGAGTCACAGTATAAGATTTCACTGGCTTGGTCAAGTTGACCACTCTCATTAAAGTTGTCTCTGCATTTATCTTGTGACTCATCTGATAACCACAAAATGTATGCTTTTGTCAATGTTCTTTTTGCCTTTGTGTGAAGAAAATAAAATCCCAAATTCTTTTTTAAAAAGTTTTAAATTATTTTTATGAGTATGAGTGTATTGGCTGCATGTGTGTAAGTGCACCTGTAATGCAATGCCCAAAGAGGTCAGAAGAGGGTGCTGGATCCCCTGGAACTGGAGTTATGGATGGTTGTTAGCTGTCATGAGGGTGCTGGGAACTGAACCCTGGTCCACTGCAAGAGCAGCCAGTGCTCTTAATTGCTGAGCGACCTCTTCAGCCCAAGTTCCAAATTCTTAAGTGTGTTTAAGGAAAGCTGAAACTAACACCTTATTTTAAACTTAAAACAACTGTTTGGAAGCTGATGTCATGTTTTGGTTGTCACCACGGGAAGAATGGAGGATGGTGTAGGTGATGTCCTGGTGATGGTTTGTTTTCCTCTTGTGGAATCTCTGTAAATGATCTCAACCCTGTACTGGTTTTTTTTTTTGTTTGTTTGTTTTTTTCTAGGATTTTGCTCATTTTTTTGTATATTTGACAATAATGAGATAATTCCTAGGATGATATAATAGGTAGGTGTTTTTAAGAACTAATTTAAACATTTTATTGCTGTCTACACTGGCCATATATGTAATGTTTGGCACATGGTGGTTATGTCGTTTCTGAATTACAGACCAGGACTATATAGCTGACCAATCTATTTTACATAATCCACCCAATAGTATTTAGATTTGACAGTGAAATTCAGAGCTAGGAAAACACTGATATATTGTCCTTAAAACAGCTGTCATAGGGTTTAGTGGCACATGCCTGCAATCCCTCCTCTGGTGCGGTGTGTGGAGATGTATAGGTGGGGGAAGGAGGATCAGGAGTTCAAGATCACCGTTGGCTACACTGAGAATTCTAGATCAGTCTGGGATACATGAAACCCTATCCCCCAAAAGCAAAAACCCAAAACAAAAGACCAAATATGTATATTTGTAAATTTGACATTTCCTGGAAGTAACTATCACAATCAAATGATTAGTCAAAAATTACAACTACAACAGTAATAGGAGCCTGAGAAAAATATTTCTTTAATGAAAAAGTCACACACAAACGCTAGTCTGCGTACATTACTTTTTGGCCTAAGTACAATTTTAAAACTGTGCGCTAAAAATATAATGACAATGTTTAACAAAATTAGCGAAATAAGCTTAATAATTTACAAGGAAAGCAAGCTCACATGTCACTGTTTTAAGGTTTTCTTCAATTACCTAGCAGAAAAAAAATATTTCAAGGATTAACTTGTAATGCTAACTATTCTTGCCTTTGCTTCTCTGTCATATCTCCCAGGCACTGGTCAAGGACCTTCTTTTTCTCCCTGACTTTTAGCCAAGTACTCTGTCCCAAAGGCCAAGAACATTAAAAGTATTTGGGAGCTCTTATCCCCAAAGGATTTTAGGGTTACCTCTTCAAAGTAATAACATAAAAGGTAAAAATTAGTTTAAAAGTAAAAACTCCAAAAGAAAAATGGCCAATTTCTTTCTCAACTGAAAGCTGGAAAATTCCTTGGGTATGCTAGTGAGTTTATCTCTAAGACTAAAGATGCCAAAACCATTAAAAGGACAGTATTCATACTGTTCTTATGTAAATCAAACCTACAGAGCTAAAAAAATCCTACTAGAAAACATTGGGTCCCTGGTTAGCCTCACTAACAGAATCAGTAGTGATGGTTCTATTAACTTTCCTGTAAAATCTTGGATAATAAACACATGATGATACAGAGTCAATACGACTCCCTCCAAACCAGATTAATATAAAATAATAAAATAGCAAAGATTTGATTATTCTCCAAAAGGAGTGGGGAATGAACTATCTCAGCTAAACTAACCTAACCTAAGTCACTCCATTTTCCCAAAGCAGTCATTTTAGGAGAAGTGCCCTTTACCTTACTTATGAAAGATACCTAGAAGGGAGAAGCAACTTTGAATTCTGAGAAATGGCCTGACTGCATGCCACAGGGTATCGTAATCTAGGCCGCTTATCTAAACCTGCTTCACTTACCTATAATCTAGGCAATTGACTAACCGCTTATATCACTTTTGTAAACCTGCTTCTCAAGCCTGCATCTGCACAATGTTGATGTAGAGTTCAGGGGGTATACGCTTAGTGGGTATGGCTGGATCATATGGTAGTTCAACTTTCAACCTTTTGAGAGTCATCTGCAATGATTTCCACAGTGTCTGTTCCAGTTTACATTCCCACCAACACTGGATAAAGGTTTCCCATTTCCCACATCCATGTCAGCATTTTTTGTCATTTGTTTTCTTGATGAAATCTCAAAGCAATTTTAATTTTCATTTTCCTGATGGTTAATGATACTAACGCTTCAAAAAATATTTATTAGCCATTTGTATTTCTTCTTAAATTCTTTTTTTTTTGAGACAGGGTCTCCCTGTAGCCTCAGCTGGCCTGGAACTTGCTATGTAGATCAGGTTGGCCTTGATCTCACAGAGCTCCTCCTGCCTCTGTCCCACGGAAGTACTAGAACTAAAGGCATGTGCCATCATACCCAGCTTTGAAGTTCTTCTTTTGAAAACTCTGTTCAGTTCCATATCCCATTTTTTGATTGAGCTATTTGTTTTCTTGATTTTTAGTTGTTTTAATTATTTATAGTTTCTTTCTAAACATTATCCTCTACCAGAGGTATAGCTGGTGAAAATTTTCTCCTATTCTTTAAGCTCCATCTTCACTTGATTAACAGTTTCCTTTGCTGTACAGAAGCTTCTTAATTTTATGATGTTCCACTGTTGACTACTGGCCTCATTTCTCAGTGATTGGGGTCCTATTCATAAAGTCTTTACCTATGCATATACCTTGAAATATTTCCTCTATCAGTTGCAGCATTTCATGTCTTAGCTTTATTCTTCTATGTGAAGCTCTCCAGTTTCCCCAGCACCATTTGATGAGAGGCTGTCTTTTCTCCAATGTGTATTTTTGGCGTCTTTGTAAAAAATCAAGTGGCTATAGCCGTGTAGGGTTACACTTGAACCCTCTACTCTATTCCATTGGTTTACATGTCTGTTCTTATGCCAGTATCATGCTATTTTTATTACTATGGTTTTATAGCATAACTTGGAATTAGGTATGGTAATCCCTCCAACATTAGTCTTATTACTGAGGATTGCTTTGGGGTCTTTTGTACTTCCATGTTAATTTTAAGATTGCTTTTTCCATTTCTGGAAAGAATGTAATTTTGGTTGGAATTTTGATGAAGATTGCATTACATTTGTAAGTTGCTGTGGTTACTATTAGTCACATTTCTGTTGCTGTGATAAAGCATCACTACCCAAAGCAACTTATGGCAGAAAGAGTTATTTTCACTTACGGTTCCAGAGGGATAAGAGTCCATCATGGCCGGGAGGATGACAGCAAGCGGCAGGCAGGGCAGCAGGAGCAGGAAGCTGAGAGCACATGTCTTTGTCACAAGCATGAAGTAGTGAGCGCAAACTGGAAGTGGGCAACGTTAAGAACTCTGAAAGCCCACCCCCAGTGACACACTTCCTCCAGCAAGGTCACACCTCCTAAAGATCCCATGACCTTCCAAACAGCACCACCTACTAGAGACAAAGTGTTCAAATACTTGAGCCTATGAGGGACATTTCTCATTCAAACCACATGTACTTTTCACAGTATTAATACCTCAAATCCATGAGCATTGGCGATCTTTCCAGTGATAGTGTCTTCCTCAGTTTCCTTCTTCAGTGTTTTAAAATTTGCATTGTAGAGATCTCTCACTTCCTTATTTAGGTTTACGCTAAGGTATTTTATTTTATTTGAAGCTTATTTAAATTCTTAGGACTTCAGTAAGTGTATTGATTAGGAATGTACACTTTTGTCTTATTCCTGATTTTAATGGCAATGCTTTGAATTTTTCCCTATTTACCATGATGCGGAGTGTAGCTCTGTCACATACAGCCTTTATTACAATGAAATACAGTCCTTTTATTCCTACTCTCTTCATTTTTTCCAATTATGAAGGGATGTTGAATTTTGTCAAAGACTTTTTCTGCATCTGTTGAAATGATTGTGTAATTTCTATCCTCCAGCCCATCTATATGATTTATCACATTTTGTGTGTGTGTGTGTGTGTGTGTGTGTGTGTGTGTGTGTTGAACCATCTCTGCATCTTTGGAATGAAGCCAATTTGATCATGGTGGATGATCTTTTTAAAATTAGAAATTTATTACATTTTATTACACTTATTACATTTTATTACATTTTATTACATTTATTTATTACATTTTATTACACTTATTACATTTTATTACATTTATTATACTGTGCACCACAGTATATGTGTGAGAGACCAGAGGACAGTTTGTGGGGGTCAGTTCTCTCTTTCTACCATGTGGGTCTCAAGGATTAAACTTAGGTCATCAGATTGGGCAGTAAGTAATTTTACCCACTAAACCATCTCACAGACCCATGAATGATCTTTGTGATGTGTTCTTGAATTCAGTTTGGAAGTATTTTGTTGAGATTTTTATTTTTGCATCTATGTTTAACAGGGAGATTGGTCTATAATTTTCTTAGTTTTTGTTCTTTCTCATTATCTATCTATCTGTCTATCTATCATCTATCATCTATCTATCTATCATCATCTATCTACTATCTCTATATCTATAGATAGATAGTATTTGATATAGGATAGAATAAGGCAAAGAAGCAGTTGCTGAAGACATCCCACTATCAACCTCTGGTCTTCACATCCAGCTGCACAGGCAAGCAAACAAACCCACATACATGAACATAGGTATACAAAACACATACATACACACACACACACACACACACACACAC